TTCAGAATTTTTTTTTTGAGAATTTTCTTTGTCATGAAAGGCAAGGACAGCCTGAGGAACTATCCCAGATCAGGAACCTGGTCTAGGAAAAAAACACTAACACAGAAACTGCTGAGATCCAAATAAGCCCTGCAGATTAACAGCATGTCATCAACGCACACCTGCTGGCTCACTGAGGCACTGTATGTAAGACATGATATTCAGTTGATAAGGGTGGGGTGTATGGGGACTCTGTACTACTTCTTTTTTTTTTAAGATTTATTTATTTTTAGAGAGACAGGAAGGGAGGGAGAAGGAAATGGAGAGAAACACCGATGTGTGAGAGATACATCGACTGGTTGTCTCTCACACACCCCCAGCCGGGGACCTGGCCCTCAACCCAGGCATGTGCCCTGACCGGGAATTGAACCAGTGACCCTCTGGTTTGGAGGCTGACACTCAATCCACTGAGCCACACCAGTCAGGGCAGAATTCTGTACTATTTTTGCAACATTTTTGTAATTGTAAAATTATTTCAAAATAGAAAGTTAAGAGAGAGAGAGAAACATACACAAACCCTTTCAAAAACCTGGTTTGAGTGGAATCCCTCCTCCCCCAGCCCTTCCTGAGCCTAATACTCGGTCTTTAGTGAGCAGGTGGCCCTAAAGCCCTCAGCTCTCTCAGGGCTGGGGCTGGGGTTGAGGACTTCACAGGCAGAGGCCCAGAGCTGCTGTCTGCTCCAGCAACTTGCACTAGTGCCCAGTCAGCTCCAGTGATTCTCAGAGCCCCTCCTTCCCACAGAGACACGTACAGGGTGCTTTTGAGCACCCTGGGTAGGAAAGCAGGAAAGGGCATCAGGATGTCACAGGTCCTCCTGGCAACAGAAGGAGAAAAATCCAGGGACCAGAATAGTGGAAGATCAAAAGGAGGACCTTGGAGGACTTCTTTTTCTGTTTCAAAACCACCAAGTTTTGTTAAACATTTACTTTATGAGAAGAAATCCTACTAGCAATAGCCAGTAAGAAGGTAGGAGTGGTGAGGGGGTAGGTGAAATCTTGGGAAGGGAAGGTGGGGGAGAGGGATGGAGGGAGAAACAGGGAGAGAGTGAGGAGGAGCACAGTGCAGATCCCTGCCTGCCTATGAGCAGCTACCATGTAAGCATGGAGTTGCGTCTCTACCCCTTATTCCCTGGGTGACCTTGGCCTCATTACTTAATCCTACTGTGACTCAATTTCCCCGTATATCAAATGAGAGTAGTAATTATGGTCTACCTTGTGGGACTGTTCAAGGATTAAATGAATTAACACAGGTAAGCATTTAGAATAGTTCCTGGTACATTAAAAATGCTGATTATTTATTAGACTGGACCTTATGAAACAGCCAGTATTTGACCATTTTGACCCATAAAAACAATCTCATAAAATGTAACTTAACATTATCATCGCTATTCTGTGACACCAGCCCAAGATGAGGGACACAAGTGCCAAGGCCTCCTCTACCATACAAGAGGGTTGGCCCAGCTCTGCTGAAGTTCTCATTTCCAGCAGCCCGTGGCCCAGAAGACCAGACCATTCTGCCCCTCCAGCACCTGTGTACAGATATGCCTCAGGTTCCCGTGCTCAGAGGTCTCAGGAAGGAAGCCTGTTTAACGTGATCCTCTTGTCAAGTTTTGGTCCCTGCTCCCAGGCAACTGCTTGGCCAGAGGGAAGCAAGTGCCCATCCTGGGGGTTCTGGCCACAACTGGAGCACTGCCCTTTGCCCCTGTACCCTCTGACACCTCCTCTCCAGCCTCAATTGTTCATCCAGCTTCACAGTTTCACCCAGGGTTAGCCAAGCATTGTTCACTCAGGTAAATTAAAAAGCACTCAGACTTGGGTTCCTTAACTCTGTCTTCACTTCACTGCTTCCAGACTCAGGAGTGTACTGCAGGGAGCCCTCACTGTTTTGAGGGCTATATGCACAGTACACCATTCTAACCAAGCCCCGTGCATTAATGTGATAATCTTCACAATAGCCCTAGGAGGCAGGTACTCTTAACCCTATTTTACAGGTAAGAAAAGTGAGGTATCAAGAGCCCCTTTACTTCTTAAGTTTGTACATCTAGAAAAGCAACAAAACTAGGACTTGACCCCAAGCGGACCAGCTCCAGAGACTGTGGCTTAATACTGCTCTGTTATGCATAGTCTTCAACTTTAGGAGGAAAGTCTCTGCTTCCTGGAACTCCCCACTAGCTCCCCTCACAGCTGGCTCCCCTTCTTGCTGGTTAAGGATGATAAAGGTCTGGTCTGCTGAAACTGCCTCAACTTTAACTTTTGCCTCTGCAGCAACTTCATCTGGTTTTCCTTCAAGTCACTGCAGCTTTTAGCCCTAAAACTTCTCTCCCCCAGGCTAGGCCTCTTTGGCTCTCTTGGATACCTGTATTCATTTGCAGAGCTTCCTTTGCAGTGATTTGATTACAGGAGGCCCTTTTCTCTGCAAGGTCCCAGGCCTGCATCTCACCATCTGACACAATGCTCTTGTGCCCCGTGCCACACTTCTGTCTCCTAAAGGACACCTCCTGTCTATCTTAACACAGCCCGAACCACTGTTCGTGTTATTCACAGAATTACAGGACTGTGGGGATGGGGGGAGCTTTGAGGATTATCCGATTTCATTGCTTCTTCTATTTTGTCTAAAAGAAAGAGGTGAGACTCCTCTCCAAGCAGGACTGCAGTGTTATATACAACAGCAGACAAAAAGCTCCATTGTTATTCTGTGGGTTATTATAGAAACATCTAAAATCTATCAGATAATGGAACATGCTATCCAGAAAGAACAGCTCTATGTCTAACACAGTTGTAAAGTCAGACTAGTATCCTGTGCTCTGTCAACACTGTGCATCGCTAAAAGCCATTCCAGGAATCCCCTCTCCATCCCTGAGCTAATCTGGGCAGCACTTTTATCACATATGACAAGGCCCTCTGAGCATGGCTCATGATAACTAAATTAAATCCCATGCTCTCAGTATCCTGCTCCACTTCAACCACATTATCAAAATTGATAGCTCACCCCAGCACACAGCCATTGCGGCCCCTTGTGCTCATTTATCCTGGGATGTCACATATGCTGCTTGTTGGCAGAAGCTGTGGCTCTTTATCAGCTGCCTGCAGCCTTGGCACCACAGCCAGCATCTACTCAGAGGCTTGCTCTTTCCTTTTTCTTCTAAAGCCCTCACTTGGGCAGGTCGGGTCCTGTCTTTCCATCTATCTGCTGAACAGGTTTCTGCCCACCTAACACCAATTATGGAGTGGTACTCTTCGGGGATCACATGGAGAGGCTGCTGCTCTTGAGGACACCTATGTTATTAATTAGACCTTAGGAAGACACTCAGCCTTCTCTGGCTTTCTTCCCCCTGCTTTCAAAAAAAAAAAAAAGATACTCACTTGGAAAAAACCACCCTTAGTTCAGAAATGTACAAATCAGAAAAACAAAAGCTCACTAACGCCCCCAGAGATAATGACCGTGAACAGCCTGCAGGCCTTTCTCTCTGCAGACTACAGAGCCTGGCAATCTCTCTCCTCAGACCCATTTCCCTGTCCCCAAGCCTCCGGGAGCAGCTGCCTGGCATTCCACCACCTAACACTTGCCATTCATCCTCTTGAGGCTTCCAGGATGCTGCACTTGAAGGCCATCTCCCCTGCTCCCTTTGCTCCGACTATCTCTACTGCCTGGTCCTTGTCTCTCCTCTGCACTTACTTCCTTAGGGATCTCATCCACTATCTTAGCTTTAAGGAGCAATAGTTAAAGGCTCCTAGACATGTATGTCCAGTCCAGACCTCTTTCAAACTTCAGACTCCTGAAATTTATCTGTCTACCCTACCTCTCTGTCTGGATGTCTAATGGTAGTTAAAATTCAACAAGCCCAAAACTGGACTCCAGATTTTCCTCTGTGAACCTGCTCCTCCTTCAGCCTTCTCATAAATTGTGAAGTCACCCTGACTCATCCCTTTCTGTTATGCTTTACACCCAAATCAGAAGGAATTCCTCTTGGCTCGGCTTACAAAATATATCCAAGATCTAGCCAGTAGACACACCTCTACTGCCACCATTCAGGTTCAAGCCACTCTCCTGTCTCACCTGGAGGACTACAGTAGTCTCCTGATTTCACACTTGCCCACCCCAGAGAAGCGAGTGATCCTTTAAAAATATCAGATAGTGTCCCTCCTCTGCTCAAGACACTGTTACAGCTCCCCTTCTACTCAGAGAAAAGGTCAAAGTCCTTATAGTGTCCCCAAAGTCCTCTGTGAGTTTTCTGGCCTGACCTCTCCCAACTCTCACCCGAACCACTCTGCTCCAGGCCACACTGGCCCCCATCATGCTTCCCTAAACAGCAGGAGCTCTGCTGCTTTAACACCTTTGCTCTGGCTGGTCCCTCTGCCTGGCCTCTTCCCCAGATGACCATGTGGTTGGCTCCCTCCCCTTCCCCAAGCCTTTGCTCAAATATCACCTTCTCGGTGACCCTACTGTGATCACTTCGTTTGAAATTGCAACCTACCCCTTCTCTACCTCCTAATAATCCCTTTATCCTGCTCTACATTAGAAATATGTTCTTATCACCCTGTCACATTCTTTTTAATTTACTATACTTTTGCTTATTATAAATCTCTTTCCAACTATTCAACAGTAGGTAAGCTCTATGAGAACAGAGATGTCTGTTTTACTCTCAAATATATCCTAAGCCTTCAACAGTGCCTAGCATATGGCACTGAAAAACATGCTTGTCAGTGAATGAGAGGTCTCTCAGGGATGCCCAGCAGGTCTGCAGCAGCCTGTCAGGCACTAAGACCCTTTCACACCGAAGAGCTCTGGCCTCCTAGGACTGCCTGCCAACTGAGAGTGGCAACCTTTTCTGAACACCCCTTCTCCTTCCCTCTTCCAAGCCAGGGACCTGCTGTGGTACCTTCTGTCTGTTCAGTCCACCAATCAGACAGCTCCCATTCTGCTGCCCAGCCCCAGTCCAGGCTGAGCTCCTGTCCACTCACCTGGAAGTCCTCCTCATCCAAGATTTCTTTTCTCCACTTGATCAGGAAAGCTGCACACACGTAGAGATGGAAGTGGGAGAACCCTTCTGGTTCAGACTGGGAAAGCAAAGGACAGAGTTAGGTCTCTAAGCCCTGACCAGCAGCTGGCTTTAGTCCTCTTGGGTCCAATCCATTTGCAAGATGGGAATGCAGCACAGCAGCCCTTTCACAGCACGGCAAACAGAGGTCTAGGAAGACTGAGCAGAGGCCTTGCCCCTGAGGCCAAGGAAGACACAGAAGAAGCAGAAAGGAGGTGGGGGAACTTCAAGCAGCTACACTCCCCACCAGGGCAGGGAGCGGGCACCCTAGGGACAGCCTTGCAAGTGGAGGACAGGGAACTCTTCATACCTGGTACGTGTCCCACAGTCGGATGGTGCAGCGAAGGGGAAGCTCCCGCATGAGCAGGTTGTTCATCCAACGAAAGGCAAACTGTAGGTATTCAACCTCGTACCTCCTGAAGTGATTATGTACCTGCTCTGAAACAGGAAGTGTCACTGGCACCGGGAGCACAACCTGGGGGATCAGGCCCTGAAAAAGTCACATGAGCCAAAAAGGCAGTTTCCATTTCTTCCCCCCTAACCCCAAGAAGCCAGACCGAGGGGCCGAACCAACACCAACTGTCCTGCATGTTTGATTCCCCTGTGTCACGGCAACACTGCACACAGAACTACTTTCGCATCACGGAGTCATGGTCTTGGTGTCTCTTCCTTCTCAGGGCTGCTCTAGCCACAAACCAGAGACATAAGGTTCCCTTGGCTGCCTGATCTTATTACTCATCAGAGAAGGAGCCAGAATGGAAAAGAACACAGGGTCACCTTGGCCACCCTCCTGCCAGTGAGGATTTCCTCCTCAGCAGCCCCCACAGATGGCAGCCGGCAGGGGCTTAAACCCTGCCAGTTGAAAGAGGTTCACCGACTGCACTCAAGGGCAGCCTCTCCCACCGAAGTATTAAGTGATTCACCAGAAAAGTATTTCGCCGTATTCAACAGAAACCATCTCCCCTAACTCCCACCCCTTGGTGTTTGTGTGCCATTCTGGAAAAACCCAAATCAAACCTGACCCCTGTTCTACAAGACAGTCCTTCAAATAATACTTAATAGAATTTTTTGACTTTTTAATAGAATTTTTTACATCATTATCCTCCTCAGTTTCCCGATCTATAAAATGGGGATAATTGCTCATACCTTGGAAGGTTTGAGAGAAGATAAAATGAGAAAATAAAAGTACTTACAACAGCACCTGGCATGTGGTAAATACTTAATACAATTTTTGAAGGAGTAATTATTAACAATGGTTACTTCTGGTGGGTAGAATTTGAGAAAGGGGGAGAATTTTTACTTTTTATTTTGTGTTTTCTGAACTGTTTAAATTTCTGTAGTAAGTATTACTTCTATAATTCAAAGGATAAAGGTATATACACTTCAAGCTCCACTTTCCTAAGCACTAGGCCTTTTTTACCAGGCACGTGTGAGGGCAGAGAAAACCAGGCGAGGGCGGCCGGTGGCAGGAACTGTCAGCCGGCTCAGCAGCCACCTCTGGCGGCAGGCGCCAAGTGCCAGAATCCAGGTGGGGGACACAGAGACAGGGCCCTGCCCTGCCCTGGAGCTAACAGCTGGTCGGAGTGGTAAGAGAGAAAACATGCCACATATTACATAGAGAAAACAACTGAAAATAAGCAAATGAACATGGAAGACTGAAACCCTAAGTCATAAAAAGAAGCTGAAGTGAGAGGAACAAATCAGGGGAGGTTTTCATGGGAAAAAAACCTGGGGAAGGAGAGAGAAAGATACACAATTCTGTGTGGGATGGAAGGCAATGCTTCAGCAAAGCAGAAAGCCCCTGCCTGGGAAAGCCAGGAAACGAGATTTAGTAGTTGGTGTAGTAACTGGTGAAGTCCTGAGGAAGCTTTACAGCTTCACTGGTGCTGCTGCTGCCACGTAACAGACCTCACTGTTCAGTTCTATGTGTTCTTGATAAAACCTAACTCTGACTTCTCTCCCAGGGCCTCAGTTTCTTTGTCAGTCAATAGCAGGCTTCCTGAGTTGCCTTTTTTTAAAAATTAATTATGCCTTGTTGATTATGCTATTGCAGTTGTCCTGAGTACCCCCCCACCCCCTCCACCCAGCGCCCCTCACTCCCTCAGGCAATCTTCATTGTTCATGTCCATGGGTCATGTGTGTAAGCTCTTTGGCTCTGAGCTGCCTTTTAATTCTAACGTTCCATGATTCTAAGCCACAGCTAAGGAATTACTATAAGGCTCCTGTTACTCAAAGACATTCTGCTTCAGGAAAAGTCACCCAAACAGGTCACAGTAGCTATGGGAAGTCCTACTGGGCTATCAGCCAGACTTGAGGACCTTGTGTCAAGCCCAGGAGTCCTGAGTTTTATCACCATATGAAGGACAAGGTCAGACTACAGAAGGGGAACTCAACCAGAACAATGCTTAAGAAAGATGCTGTCATGTGATAGAAGGTTGGAAGAGGAAAGGTTTAGAGCAGGCAATGGCTGGCTCAGAGCAGTGGCTAGGGAGATGGAGCAGGGAGGATGAATTTGAGGAGAGATGCTGAAGGAGAATTGATAGAACTTGGTGACAGAAAACTAAGCAGAAAAAAGAATTTGAAATAATAGCTGAGTTCTTACCTCAACTTCCTGTTGCGATTTGAAAGGATGCTGGTGCCACCAACAGCACAGAGTAAATCAGAAAGGGTCACAGCTGGGAGGAGGGCTGAGGGGGGCACCCACAGCATCACTTGCTTGCATTGGAATCATACTGTGCTATGGGTAGAGAACTCCCAGTCCTCTGAACCTACCATCAATCCGGCTGACAAGCTCTTCCAGCGCCTTGACCTTCTTCTGGATCCCTGGTTGTGCAAAGGTGTAGTTATCCTGACAATGAAACAGAGCCCAGAATAAACAGGGACTCAGAACAGTCATGCTACCACTCCTCAAGTTCACAGAAACATGTTTAAAAACACCAGCTGTTTTTCCAAAGCCAGTGCCAGTATTTGGCGGAACGAAGGAATCTCCAGAACACCTGAGTGTGGGGAAGCCTAACAGAGCAAAGCTGTCCTCGGCAAAGGTGAATGACATGGCCCAGGTGCACAGTGGAAGGAAGGAGCATGCTCTGATGTCAAAGCCAGGGCAACATGGACACTGTCTGAGACTCCAGGGGACGCTAGACCATTGCTTTTTGAAAACTTTAAGCCAATGAAAGAGGTAAAGATGGATGGACAATAAGGGGAGGTGCCATGCCAGGTGAGGTGGGGGGGAATGTCTGATGCAGAAGAGCAGTAAGGAACCCAAAGGCCCACAGGAAGCCCTGTGAACCCAGATGACCCACAGGGGCAGAAACTGCTCACCTGGATGCCATCCAGCAGTTTGCTCATGCACCAAAAGCTGTCGGCTTCAATGCTTCGCAGCATGTCCTGAGACAAATTGGTCACATCGAAGTTCTCCACATCCTCTTCTGTAAAAGAAAAGGTGAAGAAGGTCCAGAGGTCTTCTCTGGACAATGGAGAAAGACAGAGTCTAGTATCGTCACTGGGGCCCTTTGGGCAAGGACAGAGCCAGGCTAACCTGATGCCGAGGACAGGGACTGCCCTCCTCCCCTTGGCAGGTGGGCAAGTGAAACCCAGGGGAGTTCTTGATGATCTCATTACAACACTGAACAGGCCATTCCTCACACCAAGTCTGCTGGGTCCAAAATATCTTTCTCTTCCCCTGCATTTGTTCATTCCATTTTAGAAAAAGACACTTCAGGCCTCATATTCAATGAGCTATACACCCAGGCCCCTGAACAAGGTCTGGAAAAATTATTTGACTTCAGAAATTCAGTGAGCTGTGTAGCACACTCATATGTAGTGAGAGCAACTGGGATCAAATAGCCCCCACAGCTCATTTTTAAAGGCGGGATCCCCCAATTCTGACTAGACAGACCCACGGCCTCCCCACTCAGAAGTGATGAGTGTGAGAAGGCAGCCCAAACCTGTGGTAGCTACTAATTTTATTTTCAATGATTTGGTAGTTCTCAGGATGGGCTGTGTAAAACATAATCCTAGAGGATACTCAAGAAAAAAGGGGTTCCACAGACAAACGTGGTTGAGAAATGCCACATTATATATCCTCACCTTGGAGATTCACAAAGGGCATAGCCAACAAAAATATTTGAGAAGCTGTAAGAAATTCTCCATTGAGTAAATATGCTTAGGGTAAGGGGGGGAGGCGGGGAGAGAAACACTGATGTGAGAGAGGAACGTCTATCGGTCGCCTCTTACACACACCCTGACAGGGGACTCAACACACAACCCAAGCATGTGCCCAGACTGGGAACTGAACCAGCGACCTTTCGCTTTGTGGGACGACGCCCAACCCACTGAGCCACACCAGTTAGGACATGGGCCCTCTTTTAAAAAGGACCATCTATTAGCTCTCATGGAAATCCCACACCAAGTAAAAGGAGTGAGAAGTCATCTGTCTGGTCTGAGACCCCAGTGGGGAGAACATAAGGAGTCCTCAAGACATTCAGAGAAGGAAAAGGCCATGTGGTGTTTCCTTCCTGCTGCAGAGAAGCAAAAGTACTAAGAAAGGCTCTCCTTGCCCGACAAGATAGGCCACCCCAACCCACAGGCTCCTGTATGTCTGTCAGAGGCCACACGAGGAAACATTTAGGCCCTTGAGTTCTGCACCAAAGGTAGCTTCTCTCCCAAGACCCATACACCCTGTTTTGAAAGCAAGAAATTTACTGCAGTCCCTGGTGCTGCAGACAGACACAGGCATCCGACAAAATGTATTCAGAATCCAGCCCTTTCATTTATGAGAATTATTACCAAGACCTACAACTGAACCTCCTCGAGATAACATGTAATAACAACTCTCAGATTTTCCTCTTGTATAAATAACATTTTTAAATGGACATCAAGGACTGTAAAAACCCTTTTAGGGAAGGGGGGATGTTTTATTAGAAAAGCTATGACCCTGGAAACAACCTAGAAGTCCAGCTCGAAGCACAGACACAAGTAAATACATGTTAATACATGTTAAATGCTACCAATGGGGCCTGGCACACAGTAGGTACAATATAGTTCTAGGTGTAGTTTATTAGGAATTTGTAACATGGGAAAGTAAATCACTGTGTGAAGGGAAAAAACAAGGTTCACAATTATTCTTGGTACACTCTCAGCTACTGTATGTATGTGTGTTTACATAAGCACAGTGGAAAGACGAAATATATCATAAGGTTTAGATATAAACCCGGGCTTGTTCCTCAGGTGGTAGGGATAAAGGATTTTTATTCTCTCTAAGTTTTATTAGACTTTTCAAAATTTCTACAATAAGCATAATTTTTATAGTCAGGGGAAAATGTAATTATTTTAGATAAAAAGCTACAATTGATGACACCTGCCTTTTATCACACACAAAAAAGAATAAAGCAGTTTTTCTAAAACACAAAGCTTGCAGAAACTAAGACTTCAGATAATATATAAAGGTCCATTTGAGAAACTACATTGAGGGGAAAAAAAACCTTTCTAGAAATATCATCTTTCTTTTTTCCTAACTTAAACACTTACTATGTAGTGTTTTCTAGGGGTGGCCATATATGTACTATTAATTTAGTTAAGTGATAGTAAGCTGTAAGACCCACCCAGCTCAGAACTTTCTTTTTCTTCTTGCTTGGTATTACTTCTCTAAGGTCCTTGCGTGTGGCTGTACGTATCTGTAGCCTACTGCCCCAGGGTGCTCACCCACCCCCCGAATTCACATATCTGTTCCCCAGGCACAGATCCCCAGGTGCCTCCAACTGCCACTACTACAAACATGCCTGGAGAAAACTTTCCCTTCCTCCAGTACGAGAACTGCTCTGGGTCACAGGTACTGCCAGGTCCAGGCTCACAGCAGTGCATGAGGAAATAATGCCATTTCCTTTCTAGTAAGCATAGCTGCTCACACGAACCAACGGAGATGCTCCCTCTTCTGACAAGGAAACAGCCTTGTCAGAAAAAAGTGAAACCCACGAGGCAGGCTCAGGGCCAAAACCACTCCCACCACTCACTCTTGTGCCCAGAGGAAGCTCCAGGGCTCCACAATCACTTGAAGGGTCTTTTCCACCGTAGGCATTCTACAGTTCCAGAACATTGTAGTGGAAATGTCACTGCGAATGGAAACCACATGTAGCAGAGTAACAAAGAGCTTGGGTCCCCGAGAACAACAGGGGACAGAGCTGCCATATGAGCCCTGGCAACCTATGGCTTTTTGTCAGACACAATAGCATGTAATTAAAAGAACAGACTCTGGAGCCAGACTGTGTAGGTCAAATCCTGACTCCCTCAATCACTAGCTATGTGGCTTTGGGCAAATCACTCTACCTTCTGAGCCTCAATTCCTCATCTGTTAAAGTGGTGATTTCCAACCAGTGTCATAGGATGGAATATGGGTTAAACAAGTTAATATATAAAAATGCTAACAGTGCTTGGCATAAAATAAGCATTATGCAAATATCAGCTAGTATTATTGTTATTAAATGAGGAATAATAAACTCCTGTCCTGTTTCAGCCCACTTTTTAAATTAAATGTATTGTGATGACATTGGTTAATAAGATTAGATAGGTTGCAAATGTACATATCTATGATACATGATAAGTATATTGCATTGTGTGCCCACCCTCCAAAGTCAAATCTTCCATCACCATATATTTGACCCCCTTTACCCTTTACTGCCTCCCATCACCATTCCCTCCGGTAACCACCACACTGTTCTCTGTGCTTGAGTTTTTGTTTGCTTTTCTTGTTTGTTGACTTGTTGCTTTCAGAGCCTCAGTTATTTTGGATCCCTGTTATTTGCAGCCAAACCTAACATAATTCCAGAACATACCTTAAAAATTTTTAAAGTTTCCATTTCCACCATTTGGTCTTATGGAGAAGATTTAACAATGTGGGGACTTAAGTTGGTAAGATGCCACTCTCAGCAATTGTGCCAACTTCAGACATTCAGCTGCCTTTCCAGGGAGGAGGAGACCAAGAGACAAGATGCCAGGCCCTCTTAGGGGGCATCGATTTGGGGGCTCTTTTTTCCCTATGTTCTGCCCTAGTGCCAGGCCTGTCCTTGCTGTCACAGATAGGGGAACAGTTTACCAGTACTTCAGATTGGGGAGAGAGTTTAGTTCTAGTGTTCTGCCTGATGGGAGGACAAAATTCACACATTTAGTAAAAACACTGTGAGCTGAGTGCCCCAGCAGAAAGCAGCAGAGATAGGGAGGCCCAAATGCTCTGTGAAGGGCTTCATTCATCATAAACAGTCTGTTCAGAAGGATCATTAAATGTCCCACTTGAGAAAATTCAACATATTAATTGAGCTGGGATGGGAAGCCATGCCAGCAACATAGTCTCGAATGAGGACATTGTCCCTTCAGTCATCCCTACAGACATGCAGCAGCCAAGGACTCCGGCTGGAGGGAAAGATTTTAAGGGATATTTTATGGCTATTTTAGGAGGCAAAGCATCTAAAAAGAGAAAATCCAAAGCTCCTTATAAAAATAAAATTGCCTACTCTGGGTTTGACAGAAACATGCCCATTCATAAGCAGATAAAATGTCCTTGAGTCGTGGCTCATGTCAACTGTTTATTTTATTTTTTTTTTTGAGAACTGCAAGTCCTGGGCCTAAAATCAGCCTCACATGTGCCTGAAGAACTCCTCCATGGCTTAGGGCTTTGCTTAAACTGACAAGAGTTACTTGTCCATTCACTGCTCGTGGCATTTCCCAGGATTTGCTGGGTCAGAAAGCCTGACCGAAGGCACGACAGGGTTCCAGGCACCAGATTGCAGATGGCTGTCTCTTATCCAAATCCTCTGGCTTATTTGGTTCCTGTCTTTTTCTTTCTTTTAAGTAAACTCGTAAGAATACCTTACATATTTTTTTATCACAAAAGTAAACTAATTGAGAAAAGGAAAATACAATTTTTTCAGCCACACATCTAAAGAACCTCATAAAACAGAAACTTAAATTTTTCATCCAAAACAGTTTTTTAAGAAAAGCTGTTTTAAGGAATTCATCTAATTGCCTGTATGTAATAGTTAAGTGGTTCAAGTGCCATAAAAATATATTGTTGGAAATTATTCACTTAGTACTTGGCAGTACTAGGTAGGTACTTGATGGCAGCAGCTGAGACAAGGACACCATTGAAAACCTTAGTGTGGAGAGCACAGAGGGGCCACTCAGCTAACCCCAGGAAAGTGAAATCACCACACAGAGAAGGGAGAGTAGCAGCACTGGTCTCTCCAGGGAGGACGTCCGAGGAGAGACTTCTGAGGTTCCTGCAGAGCAGAGACCCAGAGGGTAAACGTTGTAACTGTGTGGGAGACTGTTTTAAAGACACAGAGAAGCAGCTGACCATGGAGCCCTTCCTGACACTGTGCCTGTTCATCAGGGTAGTAACCCAAAAGCTAAATAGTAACTCGGAATGACTCATGAA